CCCAAAAAAGACGGACTAAATCTCGATTTTTGGCAGTAGATATCTCAACATAAAAACTGTGGTTGGGCACAAAAACTGGGGAGCACTCACGGAGTATTGTTTTGCGCCTAACAGAATTGACTTCAAAGGATTCCGGTTAAAAATCTCGTTATGTTTGCGAATTATGCCAAACACGGGTTTTATTTTAAGACAGAGGGAGTATAATATATCTCAAGGTCGTCCCTAGAAAGCAAAATCTTGATCTCAACAGCACCATGTAATTTATGCGCCTAAGATGTTAAAGGCTGCTAAATACACTATTTTGCTCAGGAACTTTTCTTTTCAAATCATCACTCGGTACAATTCTACATAATTCACGTTGTACTTGATGTAATCGTTAATATTCATTATATTACAGGAATAACGGTATTCATGAAAATAACGAAGCTATGAGCAGTGGTACACGTCACACTATAGAAAAGAAGGAAAGTTTGATCATTGAAAGCAACAAAAGAAGTAAGCCGAAAAATATGTCCTTTTGAAATTGTAGCGCAAACTAACAGTGTTGATAACCTTAGATGCCCGCAGCTTCGCTCTAGGTAGTACCGCACAGACCCAACTTCTGTGCGCTTCTAAATGCGGACTCTGACGGTTCAAAGCCTCCTATGTTAAATGTGCACGACACCCCGTTGCAATGTAGCCGAATTCGCAACCGAGTCGTTGAAGGATTGAATCATCGTTGAGGGCGGACCACGAATGCTCAAATACTTGTTTTCGGTAAAAAAAAAGACTAGCTGAATGGCTGCTATCTTCCATCTTCATCGGCCGAGGAACTGAAGGTCAACTGACTGAAAGTGATACTTGATCGCGTGGGAGCACCACTTGCTTTGAGAGCGCGCCGGTGAGGCACGTCCATGAGCACCCAGCAGGGTGCCGGTGACGGTAAAGATGACTCTCACCGTTGGGTGTTGCCGTTGAGCGCCCAAGCCTTTGTAGTCCGGGACGAAGAGAATTTCTCTCTTTGAACGAGGAAGTTGAGATGGTCGTGGGTTTAGCCATGATCCGAACGGCATGACGCTTGTGGTCGCCTGGCTATGAGGTCGCGCGCAACCCAGGCGTCAATTTGACTGTGTCAGGAAGAAGAAAGCATGGGCACTAAGGTGCAATACCTACTTGAACGAGGTAGAACGATCGAAGCGATAGATGTCGCGAGTGTTCGTACCGTCTAACTAGACTTACAAGGCGCGCATAAAGTACTTGTCTATCCGCCAGAGGAGGCGAGAACTGGTAGAATATTTCCATTAGCCCCTAATTATCAATGGAATGTTTTTTTTCGTCGGGAGACGGTATCGTTTCCATTTTGCTGGAGGGTTTAGGAGTGGGTTCAGCAAGCAATGATCCCTTCCGCATCCAGCCTATCTTTATCAAGGAAGTGATAGTTTTCGCGTTGATCGATGATTTTTACATCTATGTCTCGAGATCTAGATGCATTCGGGATTGGTACTTCTTCTAGCACAACTGAGGTGATGAGCATTAGTCATGCTGAAGTGAAAGAGAGCTAGATCGCTTTATCTGCGATCGTATGATAAATTGCGTATTGTGTGCCCTCTTTGATCTTAACTTGGAGGTATGAAGGGTCGGGTATCAGCTTAACGGCGGACGACAAACCACTAAGACCATTCCAAAAGAAGCGGCTCCGTCTTAGAGATATGGGGCGTAAAGAACAGGGTTTTTTATAGCCAAAATCAAGGTCCTGGGCTTTGGAAATACGTGGAAAGTCCTGATAGATTCACAAGCGTCAGGCAATTGCGCTCGACATGTGGCTGTCAAGAGCAGTAGACAGAGTTGACAGTTCCAATTGCGCACATGATACTCGTTCATCTTGCGACGAAGGGTCTGGTAAATATGTCAAATGCTAAATTGCGCCTTTAAGTGCGGCTTGAAAACATTGACAGCATCTGGTCTTAGACCCAGATTCAGGTTACGATCTCGTCCTAGGTATCGTGTTACGGGGAACGCCACGAGCCAGGGGTTTACTAGAAGTTAAAAAAAATATATGCCACGCACTTCTTCCTTGGTGGAAGTTTAAGGAGTTATGAACCCACTTTTTGCCAGGAAGAAGAGCGCTTAAGACGCAGGCATGAAGCTTCAATCGCTCCCATATAGAATATCGGATTTCCCAAAACTGACAACAATGATACTGCAAGGTGCCTCTCGCTTGGACGGCTAAAGCGGCAGCTAAAGGAGATCTTCGATGGGATGTGAAAAACAATTGTTAATCGGGGTGTCCAGAGTGTTTCTATATTGAGACACAAAAGAATGACTGTATGCTTGGTTTTCAGGATCTATTTGCGGAACGATACTCGGAGCTGGCCTTTTCAATCATAGAGGCTGTAGGGAGTAGAAGCGACTGGGTAACGCAACCTCTCGGATTAGAGTCGGTTAAGTTTGAGGGCAAGGGTTAGTCGTGAATAGAAGGGCTAGGGTATATAAACAAAAGCGATCGTTTATCCTTGTCATGTTGTAACAGTATTGCTGAGTCACTACCCCTGCGTGACGAGTCCACCGTGTGGGGCAGTGAGATCCCACAAGTCTGTGGCGGAGAAATCGATTCACTCGTTAGTGGAGTGACCTGGGTAGTTTTTGGAGATGTAACGATTCCCTCACTGCATCCAGTCGAAGATCTAATAATTTTTTTGGGATCTCTTCAAGAAATGTCAAAAGCGGAAAGAAATAAATGGTAGGGTTGGCACGGAAGGAGGAATTTAGTTTGTCGTCTGCATGTATATATCTGACACTGAGGATAGTCGCAGAGCACTGAGTGTTAGGATATAAATAGCAATCCTGAAGGATCTACTGACTCTTTCAACTATAAGCGAATACTACGAGATGGTGACGGGGGACCCACCACGCAGGTCAGCCTCTCATTGGGAGCGTTTCGTGGAATTGACTTAATTCCTGGGGCCAAACATTGCGTAAAATGGCAATGTCTCTTACCAAGGGAGCAATGCGACTTCTTTTTCTGTGATGCACGAAACAGACTTGGTGAGAGAAAGTGAAATCACTACATTTGGCGCCGATTCTCTATGTCAGAATGGCTAACGGCAAGTGATGAGCTACTCATAATAATAATAAGCTAAGTACAGCTACGTTTCCGGCACAAACATCGACTTGTGAAAGAATGTAATGCAAAATTGCATGGTCAGCTGCAAGTTATCAAGTGCCTCGATCAAGCTAATTGTTTATTAAATTTTGATGAGAGACGTGCACTTGGATGATTATTTTGATTGACATGCTCCCTGACTGGCTAGCTATATCACTTAGACTGTCTAATGCACTAGTGACGAACAAATGGCTGCTTTCGTAGCCCTTCGAGCCACACCGTTGCTCCGATAAAACGTATTTTGACAATAGTTTCTTTTCTAATAGTGCAGTGCACGAGAAGGCGGATGTGATGAATTGCATCAAACACTTGCTAGAGATGTTCGGGTGCCAGTAACTAATGAAGTTTTCATCAGTGTTCCTTTGGCACCGACCAAGTTCTCTCTCTGGGTTGCTACATAGAAGAGCAAAACCTGTGGGCAGATAACACAACGATGAGAACTATTGGTCAGGACAAATCACTTGGCCTCACCGACGATTGCTCAGCACATTGCACCATGTTGATTTAGCACGATGCTTTGTCAATCTTCTGGGCTGGGACGCAGCGGTTTCTTATGAGTACGAGAGAAAGCCCAATACGTGCCTCGGTTATGGCCGTTCCATGTTTCTTGTGACGCTTCAGCTTTTGCAATTAGCTGCGATTTTCTCCATGCAGATGGCAATGCGATCGCATTTGCGTGATACCAGCTTAAAGCTGCTAAGAAGAACCACCTAATTTTGGATCACCTGCTTGGCTTTAGTTCGATTGTGATCTCTATAGAATATGCGTTGCTGCGCACGGCGACATCGTCAGCACATTTATCACATAGAAAGGCAAGGTGGTTATCGTTTTTGCCGATTACACTTCGAGGGAGATTATAGTCCGGACTAGCTTAAATTAGCGGCGCTGCCCCACTAAACTCTATCCCAAGGCTTGCCGAATAACAGGCTAAGAATCACGCATGATACTCAGCGTTTAGTGGTGCCGAATGAATAAGAACCCAAACACAATACTTAAACGAGGCACACGAAAACCACTTTGAATGGTCACCGTGTAAAAGAAGCGCAATTACTCGAAAGTGGCGATCAACACGTCTAACTCGGTAAGCAGATATGTTGTGGGCGTATGATATGCATCAGCCAATTAAGCACTCGCCTCATCCCGCGGCACCTATGGTCTTTTTTTCGACTGCGGCAGATTGTTGGCAGTCCATCATTGAGCACGTTGAATTTGGGTTCTCAAAAGACGCATCTGTTCATATCGGTATTGAGGTCTTTGTGAACCTTCTGAGATAGCTGGCTTATCTTGCTGTGTTCAGCAGAATTTTGACCGGGAAGGATACAGCCAAGCTGATCTTCGTCAAAGTGTTATGTCAACATGGCCTGCTGTTAGCCATTATGCAGGATACACATCCGCGCGTTACAGCGAAGTTCTGGCAAATACTCGTCAAGGCGCTCAGCACCAAAATTTTGTGAACCGCGTTGTGAAGGATATCTTCCGGAGCATTTGCGTGGAGAGAGTGCAGTGTTGGAGCTCGTTGCTCCTACTCATTCAATTTGTGCAAAGTGGCCTTGGGATGTTCTTACAGAGTTGACTCCATGTTTCATAAGTGATTTGCTGAACCTTCGGACGCTTTTGCAACCGCCACAAGGTGACTCGGGTCTTAATGAGGGTGGAAGTCTGGCAAGCAAATCTGACGTGCCAGCGCCAGTCGAGGTATGCTTCGTAGCGAGATATAATTAAAGTGCCATGCGCAAGGTGCCCGATGTTATTGCTGAGTGCCAGATTGACGTGCCAGCATCAGTCCAGCTACGCTTCGTAACAAGATATAACTGAGCGTCATGCGCAGGGTGCTCGACGTTATGGCTGAGTGCCACGACAGCCAAAAGTAGCACGCCGATGCCATAAGTAGGCAGAACATGCAAATATATTATGGTACAAAGGAATATTTTAAACGCATTTTGCAGGTCGACAAGACCAAGTTGCAAACGCGCTGAAGAAGGCCGTAGCGAAGCAGAAATTGGGTTATAATCTTTGTAACCTATAGATTGAGCAAGCAGATCCAGCATTATGGTTCAGCATTCTGAAGCTAAACCACGACTACGCTCCTACAAGCCGGTTCGACGAAAAACGTGTTTTTACAGTCGAAACAACGGCTACCATCTTCTATGGCCAGTTTACTTTCTGCAGCAAAGCAGCCACGCGGATTTTAAACCGCTAGAATAGATAGTAAAATGGCAAATCTCAAAGAGAAAATCAGGAATATACCAATCTCATCATCAGTCCCCGCGACTTTTGGAGAGAATCAACGTGTTGCTACAACCAAAGAGCTTACAAGAGGTAGCCGCGAAGATTCGACCTCCGTCGGCACTAATTAATAGGCAATAGACGGTCCTCGATGGTTTGGTAGGTTGGCGGGTACACTGGGCTATCACCAGTATTTGTAAAGTCGGAGGGTGCCCTAAGTTGGGAAAGTGTGAGAACTTGAAGCCCCGGTTTGGCCAGATTGTCTAGAACCTTGCCCCGTTACGTTTTGGTGTACTTTCGGCCACTATTTCCTCCGACAAGAGCCAGTGTCAACCGGTTCTAATTGCGGTGAATAGGACGCTTCGTCGGTAGCTGTAACAGCTGTCTCATAAAGAAACGCGGGACAGCAAACATGAGATACTTAAGGTGGTGGGTGGTCGGTTACCTCGACATTTGCGTTGTGCTTTTAGCTTTGTAGCCAAGCACGGTGTAACATTCTAAGTGGAAGTGAGTTTGGTGAAGCAGACTAGAGAGCCTTAAGACGGGTAGAGAATTGAGCCCGATACTAATCGGTACTTTGGCCAGCTTATAGTATTCAAGGTACATACCTCATGGAGTGTACGAGTTTGCCCAACAGCTACTGATCCCATTGCAGACAGTACTTCAGAAATTGACTCTGTGGGCTGAAAGAGCCCTCGAGGAGCAACTTTTTTGCACCCACATTGAGCATGATATGATCGAAAGGCCACGCGCATTGTCGTGTGTGAGCTCGATACTAGCACGACGAGCGACTTCGAATTTTAAATTTGATCGCAGCATGATTGGGCAAGAGTTGGGGACAGTCCAGCGCATTCAGTCGTGACAAGCAGGAATCCCTGAGCCAGGTCAAGCTTGTTGCTAATAATCTGGTCATCGTCGTGATTCTTACAGCGGGGTGTCGAATTAATTACCATAGATCGAAAAATGCACCTAGTACAAGACTAGTTAAACAAGGATACTGAGCACAGAAGGCGCCCCTTTCTTGGAATCATCGCTCGGGTGGCGGCAGAGTAGTTTGTGCAGCACTCGAAAAAATCACTTATACCTTTTTCGTGCTAAAATATATCGGAATTCTCCCCGGAGTTTTCTAAATGCGTCTGTCGCAA